TAATATTACTGGGGTTAGAGTATTGGGTTAATTGAAAACTAGAATCAAAGATATAAGAGGTATTAAGTAGTTCTAAATCTACAGGTTGATTAAATAACTCTTTTAATTAGTAGTCAAGATCAATATATCGATCATAGATATTAGCAAGAGCTAATCCTAAAGGTGAGTAATGTGAGAAAGTTGTATATCTATATAATAATTGAATTATTAATTGTTTAGAATCAGGAATTTCACTATGATAATGACAACTAAATATTAAATCTTGAGCGGCTCTGCGGGTAACAGTATATCTAGTAGTGTTTTTCAAAAGATGAAATTGGTTTCGAGTAGATAAGTTAAAGATTTGTAAAGGTGTAATAGTTTGATACCATTCAATGAATTGACCAAACTCTCCACAGAGGATTATATCGGTCAAAAGGATAACAAAGAGAACAAGATAAATCAGTATAATTTAATTGTAAACTAGAATATAGTAAATAAGTAGTTTGTTGATGTGCTTGTTCATGTAAAGCTATTTGATCGTTGTGAAACTCAGTTATAGTAGACATATACTATAATATATTCTAATTCCATTGCCAGAATAAAGACTAGAATCTATTTTACTGTTTCTTTTTAAAGTTGCTAGCAATAATTACTCAATAAAACAATAATCCTATCCAGATATACACGGCTGTTATTGATAGTGGAGCTGCTATCAGTATGATTACCCAACAAGCTGCAAAGAAAATTAGATTAGAAATAGATATTCCTTCTAACAGTTTAATTTTATCTGCTCTTGGAAAACAAGTTAGACCCTTAGGTGTTATTAAAGATGTCCCTATAGAAATTGCAGGAATTACTATTTCTATTTCTATGGAAGTTGTACCAGCTACTACTTATTCTCTTATTTTGGGAAATGATTAGTCTCGCAAGGTAGAAGCCCAATATGATTGGAAAACCAAAGAGTATATCATGCATTGGGATAGTTATCATATTATTGTATCTACTACATACGAGTATAACTAGGCTGCAGAAGGTCAACCTATAGTTAGTAAAGTAAATGATGATTGGGAAGAAAAGTATGAAGATGAAGAATTAATCCCTTATGAAGCATATAACTTGAAAGCAGAACCTGTTAATACAGAAGACTCAGGATGGACTGTATACCAACGAAAAACTAGACCCTCTCGCAAGAAAAAGCAAGGATGTAGAACATGTGGACAAACTGATCTAGTGGTCGAAAACGGATTAAAAATCCTGGTTAATCCAGGATTGATCTGAATCCGATCTGAATCCATAATTTGGATTGAATCCAGGAGTAATCTGTGCCAATCTGACGGTTTGTCACATATATTTGTCACAATATAAGTGATAAATTCGAATTTATTATGTGACAAATTCGAACTTGTCACTTATATTGTGACATAAGGATGATACATTCGAATTTATCATATGACAAATTCGAATTTATCACATAGAGTGATTATATAAAGATATAATCTAAAATTAGGCCCAATCCCACTCAATCCGAGCCCAATCTGACGTTTCAGGGGCCAAACCTAATCTGACGGTTTGGATCCACACAAATCCGAATCCGATCCATGCTAACTTTTTCAAACACTAAACTGATCATTATTTTGAGGATTGCTCTTTTAATAAGTGTTGGCGATATGATGATTATGGACATATTGCTGCTCAATATCCTTACCAAAAACCTAAACGAACTACCTGTGCTACTTGTGGTTAATCTAATCATCGGTTTAAAGATTGTCCTGAAAATGAATGTAGAAGATGTGAAGAAAGAGGTCATATTAGTACTGATTGCCTCAAAAACAAACTTGAAATAGAAAATAAAAAGTATCAATGTGGTTGTAATAAACAAGAAGTTGCTAACTGAAGGACATATTTCTACAGCAAAAAGAGGAAGCATCATTGCTGTCAATGCAAGTATCCACAATTTGATGATGAATTGATGCTACTAGAAGGGACTCTAGTCTGCAAAGCATGCTATAAGAACTATTATGAAAATTTAAATCGAGAAGATTTTAGAAGCCAGTATTACTATGAACATGGATTAGAAAGAGGAATCTTGGTTAAATTTACTGTGTGTGAGGAGGAAAATCCTAGACACAATATGCATAATTTACCAAATAGAACTTGGTTTTGTAGCTTTGAGCATATGTATGCTTATAAAGCTAATGAAGATGTTAAATATAATCCCAACTATGATTTGTGGACTAGAATTAAACATTATACTGAGTCTAACAAAAGTGCTAGAAGTTATTATGATATGAAACAGGATAGTATTTATCGCCTAGCTCAAACTCTATTAGGTATCACATCTCAAAGTATTGCTCAAGCAGAGGAAGAGCAAGAAACAGACAGATATAATAGAGAATTTACAAGTAAGGAATTAACTCGTCTTTTTCGTGTTGGTGAAGTACAATTAACTACTGAAGAAGAACAACAATTAAATCAAATTTTGGCTAAGTCTTTTGATATATCACATGCTGATTTTGACCACCAGCAAGCTATTGCTAATTTGCATACTAATTTTGAAGGCAAAGTGGCTTTATGCTCAAATTGCTTATTTGCTAAACATATGTCTGAGCTGGAGCTCAATCAAGGCCTCTGTAATGAATGTTATCAGGAGCAAATAACACCTTTCACTAGTTCTCAAAAAAGAAAAGAATCAGAACAAGAGCCTAATCCTCAAAATATTATTACTCAGCAAGCTCAACAAATTATTCAACTTCAAAAAGAAAATGAACATTTAAATCAACTACTTTATTCTCTGTATCAGAATCATGTACAAATAGCACAATAGCAAAAACAAAGAAATAGACAACAAAACCAATTTTGGATGCAATACTTTGCACAACCTGCATCTATAGAAGAAACAGAACTTCAACAAGAAGAATTAAACCGTCAAGAAGTTTATACTATCGGACAATTAGAGCTTGAGGAGGAATATTTGTTAACCCTAGAGGATCAAGTTGAGACAGGTCAACTTACTACTGAGCAAGGCAACAATTCAAGAAACTGCTTGATGAGTTTGCAGATTTATTTGCCAAGGATATCAATGAACTTGGACAAACTGATATTGTGAAGCATCAGATTTATACTGAAAATGTACTACCAATTAAATTCAAACCTTATTCTGCTTCTCCTAATAAACAAGCATTTATTAAAAATGAAATTAAAAGAATGTTAAAAAATAAGTTAATTCGGTATTCTAAAAGCTTCTGGGCCTCACCTGTAGTTCTTGTAAAGAAAAAGAATGAAAAATTACAGTTTTGTGTAGATTATAGGAAACTTAATGCAGTTACTAAAAAGGATGTTTACCCCTTTCTCATATTGATGAAATGCTTAATGCTTTGTCTGGAGCTAAATGGTTCTCTACTTTAGATCTTGCTAGTGGTTATTGGCAAGTAGAAATAGACTCTAAGGATAAGGAAAAGACTGCATTTGTAACTCGTTATGACACATATGAGTTCAATGTCATGCTTTTTGGTCTTTGCAATACACCTGCTATTTTTCAAAGACTTATGAATTATGTCTATCAAAATATTAATTGGAAATTTGTGGTTGTATATCTTGATGATACTAGTATCTTCTTATGAACTTTTGAAAAATATTTAATTGACGATTCTCCAGTCAACTGAAGAATGATCATAGTAAAACGTAATGCGGTTCTATATACAGTATAAATTACTATAGGTGCGAAAGTAGAAATTTTCTAGTGATTGTCCAAAGAAAACTTTTTTCATACTAAGTTAATCATCTTTAAGTCTCTAATTAAAGTTATAGAGCTCATCGAGACGAATCTAATGGTAGTTAAATCATCCAAATCGGCCTTGTGGATGCCAAGATATCTTTGAAAA